CCTTGCGTTTATGTTTAAGATTTTTTTCGCAAGCATTCCAAATATCGTTGTTCAGTTGAATTTTCCGATATCTATAGAAAGTAGGAAACACAAACATGCATGAACATTCTAGTAATTTAACCCAAATGCAGAATTTTCCTAGATACGGATATCATCGCTCCAGTTATCGTAACCACAATCCCGTCCTCTTTTTTTGAATGTGACATTCCCAAAATGTGACTTATCAGTGGATTTGTACCTGTTTGAGCTACTCGACGGGTGTCACTTTCGGAGCATGAAGTGCTTACCATATCTGAGCACCTGACTTTATCCCCGTTTTTGACGTGGTACGTGTTGCTCCATCTTTAGTTTTGAATGTTCCCTTTGTATATTTCGCAAAGTAACCAAATGCTCATTAAAATAAAACCAAAAGTCTCTTATATGGATTGGACCTTTAAAAATATACTGGGCTTTACTTTCTACCGTTAAAGGATAATAATTATATCATGATTGGAATAAGTATACAAAGTTCATTGGCGAGTCACATAGTTTGATTTTGTTGTTTGATGGGGTTGTATGTAGGACTTCCCGAATGAAATATAGAACCAGATCCAATGACATTGGACCATTGTAGCCGTATTCCAAAAAAAGGAGAGAGAATTAAGTCATGTAAGTTAAGTATTCAAATATACTGATATACTGATAAATAACCATATAATTTCAAAACGAATGCAACACTTTCAATGATTTTTGCAAAAGCAAATAAATAGTTCCTGATCATCACGATCATTCACAACATCATCTAACAACCAGTACCTGATCTTTCACCTTCAGAAATATAAAATTCAAATAAATATTCCGTTTTTGCAAGTATAAGAAATACGCTACTGCAAAACAATTTTATTAGCCTTTGCTAATAGTTATATAGAACATAGGTGTTTAAGTATTTCCGAAAAAAATAATTATGTTATTCGTGAGTGTCTTTATGGAAGTCCCTCATTTCTTTATTCTTTAATTTTTTAGATCATTTTTTTTCTATTCTCTATTATTTTTCCCATTATTCTCTTTTCTGTATATTTTATCACCCAATAATTCTCTATTCTTTATTTCTTAGCCCTTTATTCTACACTTTTAACGTGACGTATTATGATAAAATTGAGAAAGGAAACGAGGAATGTGTCAAAGAGACAACAACCCGACCAAAGATCTAGAGCAAAAAACAGTCCAAGGCCACCAATGGGTCTTCAACACAGCGAGAAAATCCCGCACCCGGAGGCGGGCTTCAGCTGGAACACTAAACAAAAATGTGTACTAGTTCTGCGAAAATGGACGTCACACTAAACTCCGAAACATATAAATTAGCCAAAATTAAAAAATATACAAGACTAACAAATGCCAGAGGCTCCCGACTTGGGACAGGCGCATAGATGCGGCGGGGTTAAACATGTTTTGTGAGATCTCAACCCTCCCCTTTACCTATAACCAATGTAGAATAAACAAACACACAGCAATACGCACAGTAAAACTCAGTTAAAAAGAATATCGAGTCCGATGTTAGAATAGGTAACAGAAAAAACTAAGCAAAATGACAATGATACACAAATTAACAAAGGACTACTAGTAGTTACTGACATGCCAGCTCCAGACCTCAACTAAACTGATTGAAAGATTATGTCTCCATCATATGAAAATCAAGCATAATCCCTCCCGTTAGGGGTTTAGTATCATACCATCATAAAATATATCAGAACAACATAACCCGTATCATGCCAACAACTGTTTTTAGAATAAATGTGTTTATTTCCGATGCAAAGACCATATGAACGAATCAATATTAATTTTAAAAATGTCATCTTTAATGACCTGACAACAGTATCGTAACTATGTCCCTTCTGAATAAGTCTGTTTAAAGGTTTGGTTAGCTTTTGAGGCGAATGACGACATTTTTGTGCTTTGTATAGACTATTACCATAAAAGATTCGATGTGAAATACTTGAACGTATTAGATGTCTGCACGTTGATTTATATTTTCGAATGATGTCCTTGTACCGATGATAAAATTTAGTAAATGTTTTGACAAGTTTGTGATATCGTAAACCCTGGTGTAATAATTTTTCAGTAATAAAGAGATTTTTTTCCTTGAAATCAAATACGTTGTTACATACACGAGCGAATCGAACAAGTTGAGATATATAAACACCATAAGATGGTGACAAGGGAACGTCACCATCCAAAAATGGATAATTAACAATAGGAAATGAAAAATCATCTCTTTTATCGTAAAGGAGTAGGTCCGGTAAGGGCCGATTTTGGCCTCAAATTTCAGGTTCAATTGATGAAAGATTTTGGTCACTTTTTAAACACTTAAGTGTCTACTTCAGTCGATTCAATTAGTTTATGTGACAGATTTGGACTAATTTTATCATTAAAGACGCTCAGATTTAAGCTTAAATATGAAAAATCTATCAAATATGCCATAATGTGTCACTTTTCAGATGGTTTTTTTGTCAAAAATGAAAGTGGCCGCATCCGTGTTCACTCTCAACCTTTATATATGTTATGTATTATCATCAAATACAACTTGCGTTTAAATATTAAGAATGAACACAAATGCGGCCACTTCCATTTAAGACGGAAACCGTCTAAAATTTAACTCAAATGCTAAAATGTGAAGATTTCAGTAATTTAGCATGACTTAATGATGCTAGTACCCGATATATATGCATTGTATTGTCAAAAACTGCCCATATTTATGTAGCAGAAATATTCTACTTTCTAATAAATAGCTAAAAGTTTACATTTTAACAATTTTGTAAAACTGCTATATTTTGGGACCAAAAAGGGGTCTTACTGGACCTACTCCTTTTGGTATTAAGCTTCCCGTTTAAGATATATATATATATATATATATCAAGATCCAGGAAAGGGCAGTGTACATTGTTAGTATTAGCTTCATTTAAGGTCAGTTCAACAGGATAAATCTCTTTAGTGTACATACTGAAGTCGTCATTATTGAGAGCCAATATATCATCCAAATATCTAAAAGTGTTATTAATTTTTTGTATCAGATGTTGTTTCGATGGGTCTTTGCTGATTTTAGTCATAAATTATAAATCGGAACACTACAGAAACAGGTCCGCAATAAGTGGTGCACAGTTAGTCCCCATTGGAATTCCGATAACTTGACGATATACGGAATCTCCATAGCGAACACAAATGTTATCTAGTAAAAATTCAAGTGCAGTTATCGTATCAAAGCAGGTCCAATTGGCATAGTTATTTTGTTTGTTGTTACTAAAAATGACCTAAAAGAGTTTGAACATTTATATTGGCATTCTGAATTTTTAAATGCCCATTTAATTAGGTGTGGGAATTGGTATACCGTTGTCCGTCTGTCCGTCCGCCGTCAACATGTCTGACAATAACTGAAAAACGATGTTACCAATTTTCATGTAACTTTGGTTAATTGTTTATATCTATTGACTTAAGCTCCCTTTCGATTTTTATAAATTTTAGATTTAACGTTTCTGAGTAATGGGATTTTATTCATAAAAAGGGTGATTTTCTAGTTTTTGGACAATTATTCTACAATGCTTTGAGCAGTTTTCATGAAAATTTGGTGACTGGTTATATCTATTAAAATAAGCTCCCTTTAGTTTTTTTATTATATTTCTGATATGACATTGAGGAGTTATGGAACTTTATTCATTGAAAAAAGCGACGGGCGTATCATGTGCTCATGGCGCAGCTCTTTATTCCCATTATTCTCTATTCTATAAACCACATCCATACCCTCATTCATATTTTCAGGATTTTGAAAAATGTTTGTTATTTACACTTCAATGAAATATTAATGAGAAATGTTTTGTAAAAAAACGGTTAATGATCAAACTTTGGTTTCTCTCATATAGTGATCATAATGTTGAATCATTTTGACAGACATCTTTATCTCTTTCTAATATTTGTATCTGTAATTCATCCAATTGGTAGAATTTTGGCCTTGCGCAGGATCTTTCGATAAAATTTCTTGACCGATCCGATCGCAATACTGGACCACCGTTACTATTCTTTCACGACCCTTATACCGAGCAGAGGCTTTGTTATCAGTTTGTTTTTGGTTATTGCAGGATTTAGGTTAAGAAAAGTTATCTAAAACATATTCTTGAAAACATTGCAAAAATTGCTAGTGTTGCCATTGTATTGTCGGTTTTCTTTTAAACTTAAGATTTTTGACGGATTGCTCATTTGGTATCTTCTGTTTCTTTGCTTTTAAATATCAATCAATATCCTGACAATGTAGTATATTGTGCATCTTGTCTTTCATTCATATTTTATCATACAGTCAGTAAATGTTCGATTCACCTAATTAACAAAATTAGCACGTTATATCCTCAGTATCGTTTAATTCTGTTTGTTTACCGACCGGTGAGGTTTTTTCTCCATTAAATAGTTTGAATAGAAAATTCTGAACAGGTAATAGCTGATGAAAACTAAATATGTTCATTAAATTATTCTAAAGGGGACAATGAAAATTGCAAAATTAAAAGCATTCCGTTTTAGTTACATATGTATATGAAGGATTATGATTCATTGCAATGAATGCCCCGCCTCCCAAAAATGATAGTGATAATAAATTTAAAAGATTTAAATTAACAAACCTTCACTTGTACAGAAAAATGTCATCTCCTTCAAACACGCAATATTCTCAACAACAAAAATAAGCAAAGAGCATTATCCTTAGGTCATTCATTTTTCAGAGACAAATGTCCAAAGAACAATTCATTAATTTTATTGTGGCCTTATAGTCATGCATTGTCTTTTTTATCAAGTAAAATGTCGACTTAACTACGTACATGCATAATTTTCAAAAGATATAAGCAAAGCTTTTATTTTCAAAACTGATATTTTTAGTCTGTCTTACGTCAGTATCCAATACGATTAAATCATGTCAGAGAGACAATTGTACAAAATTACAAGAAACAAATGAGTGATGATTGTCCAACCACGTGGTTATAAATTGACAAAGGTATGACAGCTAAATAATGTGACTTGTTTGTTGATGTCTATAGCTTTATGGAGGACACATATCCCCAATTTAAGTCATAGGAATGGTTTAAATAGGATTAATACATACCATTCGAACTATAAAAAATTAAAAAGATTATAATTGGATTACTTCTATATCTTCAAAGTAAGTATTAATTTTTAATAAATACAGTGTGTATATTATTATATAAAGTAACATATACAACTGAATGATAATTTATAATACAGTGAAAACGTAAAAAACGTAAATTGCAAAACGGAAAATTCTTTGTTCCACAAACAGAATCATTAACTGTAAGAATTTCATGCTAGGCATAAACAATGTAATTAAGTATTGACATGACAAAATAAACTATATCTATTTCCTTCTATGGGCATTTACGTTAAGAAAAAATGTTTTCGGACATATACATTAAAATGTCAGTGAAAGTAGGACAACCCTGTCGTACAGCTTTTTCTTTTTCTAATTTTAAAACTTTTACTAGCGATCTAAACCTTATCATTCTAAACGAATATTTTACATTATTGCACAAACAATGTCATTAAATACTATTTATTATAGAAAGATATAATATGAACAAGATAGTAGGTATACCATGGTTCAGTATGGTTACATATTATGAATATTATTAATTTGAAAGTGACAAAAGAGAACGTTTGACATGTACAAATTTGTCATATTAACATGTAACATAATAAAGTAATTAGTTTTTATAGCTATTTATAATGCATGTTTTTTTCCTACCTAGTAGTATTGGCATATAATACCGTGTAAGCGTGATTTACTTACAATAGTTCGAAGTGTATCACGATACCCCCAAGAAGTGTTTTATTTATTTACCAACTTAACCTAGGAAGTAATTTTATTTTTTTCTCATAGTAATTAATTGCATTGTTTTCCTTATTACATCTTGTTTTCCCATCAAAGTTCAAAGAAGTCTTTTAGTCGTCGTTCTTGCTGTCTATACTATTGCGGTCAGTAATCCATCAACTAAATACATCAAATGAATCAGTTGAACAAATATCAAATGAACAGGAAAGCGAGTTTACAATTGAACAATGGATGTAACAACCAGCTGTCAAACGAACAACTGCTATATAAACATAGAAAAGTCTTTTACTGTTTCATATCTAGAATGATTTTGTTTTTTAATTTTGAGATTTTTCTGTGTTTTATTCACCATTTGGTTGAAATTTTTGTATTTTCATTCCATCAAAGAATATATTTTATTTATGTTAAATAAAAGACTAAAAACTATTTGAAGAAAACATATTATGTTTATATAGTATACAGTATATTTCCAGTTTATCATTTCGGTTTTTCAATGGTTATGGCTGTGCTTGCACTTAATTTTTGATATCTACACGAATAAGTGTTATTGTTAGGTGTTTCGTATTCTGTCCGTATGTAATGTATTAAAATTTGTCGTTCTGGTAAAACATGCAAACATCTGACCTTTTGATCTTCTATGTTTCTTTGTACTGTAACAATCCACGAAGATTTAAATTTATGTAGACAATTTGTTTGTATATTTACCTGCTGTAGATCACAGTTTAACTACAAGATTTCTTAACATGCAACACCAGTAAAAAGTAATGTATGTCAGATAAGTACATCAATTGAATACTGACAACATCACAGTGACTTATTAATCTAAGATTATTAAAATATATCACATGCTAAATGATTTTATGAACAAGACATTCTTGTCCAAAGTAAGGAGCCTGTAATTCAGTGGTTGTCGTTGACTGCTGCCTGTCTTATTTGTCTTTTGTTTACTGGTTTAGCATATGTCAGTACAGTATATTACAGATGTTTCCATCCTCGTCCTCTGCTTGGTCTCCGTTGGGTATTTGCCTCATGGCAATCCTTCCACATTTCCTTATACTTATATTCGAATGTAAAGCAAAAAAAGTTCGACATATGTAACCGGGTGTAACTTTTCTTGCCATTTTACAATTTTTTATGCATTTTCGTCATTAAAACATAATTAAAGTATATGTCTTCTTTATTTTTATTTCAGATGAATCTTCAAGGGATACACGTTATAATTTTCCTGGCAGTCGTCCATGGTAAGAAATTTGTTTCTTAAGACTGTACTGTATATTCAAATTAATTATATGACATTGAATTACAATGCCTTAACCTCGTCCTATCTAATGAATAAATATATTGCATACACAAATGCTATAAATTTAACTACAAAATGGGAAATACGACTGTCGCTAACAATACTGAAAACTTGAATAATAAACGAACAGATGAAACGTCATTTAGAAATTATACATGTAATTGGAAAAGCAACTTGCATGTGTCAATGCCCTCTTTTATATATTTGTTTATTTCTTTTCCTATTTACCCTAGATTGTATAAATAACACATGACATAGGCAAAAGATCTTTGTTCTTACTGTGCTATAATCTGAATAATGCAGCTAAGGTGTGCATTAACTACGTTTGATATACTGCACAGTCCAATTGTACTCTTGCTTTACAATCATGACATCGTTGAACAAATAACAACTTTGTAATAATTTCATTGTTTCAAAATATGAAATATAATAAAGGCTGTGAAAGTACGAGTGACAGGAGAAAGGCTTCTTCCTAAAATTGGGAACTTTTTGGATATTTTTTTCAATTTTTAAATCGGTGTCCCAAACTCAAACTAGATAATTATTTGTCTGTAATTTCTTGGGGGAAAACACGCAAGTCTTTGGTTTGTACTTACATGAGCAACTGGACGGGTTCCACATGTGGAGCAGGATCTGCTTACCCTTCCGGAGCACCTAAGATCACCCCCAGCTCAGTCAAGTACGACTTTTTAAAATATGAACTCCTGTTTTTGATAGTGACTATTTTTTGGGACCAGATTTATTGAGGATCAAACTTAAGATTGTGTCTAAACAAGAAAAATGAAGTAGATGCAGATCAATAGACTTCGTTTAGATGGGAAATGTCTTCAACACAGTAGATTAATGAGGTTCAAGGAATGGGACGTAAAATAACGAAAAATATCACGTTTTTTTCCGTTTAACTTTGTCCAATTAATTTTGGTACACCTCTATTCAATTAATCTTCCTCTGGACATATTTTTGAAAGGAGAAAACACATTCAATCTAAACTCAATAACCCTTTAAGTAATGATGTGTCATGAACCGATTTTGAAGTTCAGCACACAAAACTAAATCAGTATGAAAAAAACAAGATGTAGATTATACGTCAATGAGTCGTCATCCATACGAAAAAAATACAAAAGGACAAATAGAGGGAAACAAAAATTACGGATGGGTGCCCTCGCAAAATTCCAACCTTTGAAACCCCAAAAATCTTTATGAAAATTGTAAATATAGTCAACAAAAACTATCAAAGGTTTGCCACTAAAACTGATTTTAAAAAAAGTAGTCTAAAAATAGCAAACCTTTCACTATTTCTTATACACGAATCGGATTGTAAGTTATACCTATGTTTCAATACATACGAAAAAGCATTGTGCCCCACTGAGATAGATATACTAATACATCAAAAAGATGCCCATCAAGGAGACAACCAAGATGCATCCTCATCCCTAGATACGCCCCTGATTCTGAGATAATGTTAAAGAACTACATACTATAAATTCTATAAATTTATAATTCAATTCTGTTATTAATACATATGCATAATCTGAATGGCATTTCTCGTATTAGAGATCGTGTTGCTAAAGAGTAAAGATGTTAGTCGAAACCTATCCTTTCTTGTCGTGTAAAATATATGCAAATCTCAATTTTGGCCTCAAGATCCTAGTATGGAAAGGATAAAGACCTTCTGATTAATGGTTGAACTTTTTAAAATGAATACTCTAGTCCCGACGACAATCGATTAAAATTATTTTCTTAAAAGTCCTGTATTTACTACTTACGAGCACCCCGGCCCCCTCCCCAATCAAAAATTGAAGAAAAAAAAATTGTAATAAAAATCAAAACCACCATATGATTACATACAATAGATTAAAGGAATTCTTAATTACATATAACATATTTTTAAAATTCAAACCAAACCGTATAACAGCCAGAACTTTTAAATTGCAGTAGTAAAATAAGAAGGCCCGGGAACTCAGTTATCGTTTGTTTGATCTTCAAATATATGACGTATTACTGGCAGTTTTTTTCATGCACCTTTTTTATTCATTTCATCATGTTTTAAGCATCAAAAAGTAAGTATGGTGATGAAATAATTACACTGTAAGAACATTGGGTAATGAATTTTAAAGTAAAGTAGTGATTTGGTCCTGTTGAAAAAGGTCAAACATTAGTGTACCTGAAGATTTCAAACTGAGTTCAAGAGTGCCTTAATATAAAATTGTTCAAATTTTGAGATAGAGCAGGTGAAGTTTTCTATATAATTTTGATATGATTTGTCCCATAAGTAGTACACCACACTGAAAAATATTATTAAGATAGCACTGGTGCGGGTGTTTTTTTACCTGCATTTATTGTGTTATAAGGTGGCACTGTTGTATTTCCCGGCCCATAGGGATAATGATAGCCTTTTAAGAATTTTCACCACTTTCTAACACTGCCCAAGAACCTACATACATAGTTAACTGAAGTTCAATCATTCTAATATTCAGAAATAAATTTGAATATGTATGATCATGTATGATGACCGTTTACTTTTTCTGCTATATTCATAAACCTAAGGCCACTAGTGCTTTTAAGGTCTTTTATCATGTAGTGAATACAAAATTCTCAAAAAATCATTTTCACATGTATGTAAAATTATTACATAGTTTTCTACACCTAATTCATCTCTCAGCTTTGGAAGGTATGTTCAGTAGATACTGTATTTTTGTCCAAAAAGGGATCAGATACTTTGACTTGTACTACCGTGTCACCATAAAAAAAATAGCACTACAACATAACAGTATTTTCGTGCCAGAATAGAGAGGCGTCATAAACTACTGTTATTGTAAAATTGTATGGATAAGTACAATAACACAAATCCGTTGAAATATTAAGGAATATTTTCTAAAAAAAAACACACACAAAAACACAATGCAAATAATATATCATGAGCATATATATAGAAAAGGGAGGGTCTATTTCCCAAGCGCCTGTCATAGATTCTTTCATGTTTTAGAGGATCCCTATGAATGGAGATGAATTAAAACTTAATATTTTGAAAATCTAGGATATTTTTATTTTAACTTTGATTATAAGAAGCAAATCAAATTCAACAACCCAAAGTGGTTTGTTTAAGAAAATAATCTCTTTCAAAATGTCATTTTGATCATTTGTCGCTCCGCTGAAGGTCATGGGATCCCCATTATTTTTACACTGATAAATGTCTGTCTTTACCTTGTCTTATCTGATAACAGGTGACTTCGGTATACTACTTGTTCTATATATCTATGTATAGTGAAGAACAGATAAATTAAACTTGACAAAGATACAAAGTAATTTTACATTTGATTGTAGTTTAGTAAAACCGTCACCAGCTAAGTTAACACAAATAATTTATAGAGAGGGAATAAAAAAAATAAATAATTGCTACACATATAATTATGAACGCGTATGGTCCTACAATCTGTCCATACTTATATTTGGCTTTGCATAAGGTCATACTTATCTTGGACTGTACTGTTACGACGTCTTTACACTAAATCCATTGGATGTATACTGATTGATATTTTAGCCTGGGAAAGCATGACTTACTAGCGTTCAATTATGGCAAATACTCTTCGATCGGTACTTTTGTGGTTGCCTCGTGCCGATTTGATGAGTTATGTTCCTTTCTAATGACATTTACAGTGTGTTCTAATATTTTGCTGTCCCAGGTTAGGGGTGAAGGGTTGAGCACTCACAAACATGTTAAAACTCCGCCACATTCTTTATGTTCCTTTCACAATTCAGGGGCCTGTATTTCAATGGTTATCTTAGGTTTCTGTTTTTCATCTAAAACAAAAACATGAAAAGACAACAACACTAATCTGACTCCTGACATGGCAACATATAAGTTAAACCATGTTGCGGGGTCAATATAAACATACTTTTCCCAGTTTTTAGCTTTCAGTATACTATTTCCAGCATTCAGCTTTCAGTATACTATTCATAGCTTCAGCTTTCAGTATATCATTCCCAGCATTCAGTATACTATTTCCAGCTTTCAGCTTTCAATAAATTATTTGCAGCTTTTAGCTAAAATTAAAAAGATCATGACAAAAATAGCTTCTTAAAAAAAGAGTTGATCATTTTATTGTTATATTCACCAGACTGTCTCCTTAAAGGAGTGTACACAATTTGAAGATTGTTCTTAAAATTACGTTAGCAAATTAGTATGTATTATCATCAGCAGAACAAATTATGTAAATGTTAACGTTATATTTATAGGTGAATATTCAAATAAAATGTCAAAAGTTTGTACTCTATTTCCTGTTATGAAAAAGAGAAACAAACAAGATATTGTCATCAGTTTGTTTGTTTGATTTCTTGGTTTAGGTAAAAGTACTGCGACATTTTATATCCTTCCTGGGTCAAAACTTCCATAAAAATTTGCTGTAATGATGATATATAGTGTAAAAGCACGGTAACATACCTTTTTATTTTATTGTTAACCTTATTAGGTTCAGAATGCTATTTTAGAAGCGATTTTGTAGTCGCTTTCGTCCCCTTATAAACGATATCCATAAACAACTTTTATATAACAGTAATATTGTATTTTAAAATGTTATTTCTGCAAAGGTTCTTGTATGCCCGCCTACAGTAGTGGGGGCCTTATGTTTTCTGGTCGGTGTGTCCGTCCGTTCGGTGTGATCACATAAACTTAAAAGTAGGTACACCCGTTCATCATGATGTGAACTTTCAAAATCGAATTAAAAAATCTTGATTTCAAACACTGAACATAGAAAGGTGATAGTGTGAAAATAAGACAGTTTAATGTCAATGTCTTTCCATGGTTAAGATAATTTATAGTGAAGTTGTGGTCACATCAATTTGAAAATAAATACAAGAGCTCTTAAAATAGCATGCCTATTTACGATTTTGACTACATTCCACGGTTCACTGAACAAGTCCGATATGTGCCGAAATAATTTCAAAACATCAAAGATAATTATAACTATATTTAGCCTAGGTTGAGTTAACTGTGTGTTCAAAAACATATAAAAGTTATAGTGTGTTATTAGTTTGCATAATTTAGTGAAGAAATGAAAGTGCAAACAAAAGTTAGATTTTCGAGTATAGGAGGTACAAGTCATACAAATAAACAAATATACAAATATGCAAATATACAAATATAAGATCACCTCGATTGAATATTCATGGATTTTTTTTTTTATTAAAGCCAAGATCTTCATACTTAAAACTTAAATATAAAAATAAAGAGATATGGTATATTTGAAAATGAAATAAATGAATAATGTTTCCATGGAACACAGATAATGCCCCCGCTTGTATATAACGTTATAAAGGGACATAAATAGAGAAATGTAAAAGTAACGCCACCCAAATTCGAACTCGATCCGTGTTTTATGGTAAAAAGCATTGTGTATAAGTTTTATAACATTTTGGTAGAGGCAAACTAAAGTTATAGAAAACGGAAACTAATTTTGGGACGTACGTACGAACGTACAGACGGACAAGGGTAACACTTAATGCCCCCTCCGCCGCGGCGGGGCCATAGAAAACCTATAATATATCCACCAGAGATAAAAAAAAAAAAATTTCGGCTTCATATACTGTGATATTGGCGGCTGTATTTCCAACTGAATTGTATGAACAGTGCAGAAAAATACGATCTTGTACATTGACCAAAGTAAATTTTCTATAGGAAGAGAGACAACTTTCATTCGCTTACTTAAAAAATCACTTCCATACGAATAATGTCGATTATTGTCGGCATTGTGTTTTTCTTATAAGAGAATACATTTTAGTTCATAAATTTATACACGACAACATTATTTGAACACAACAGTATACTTACAACTATTTATCAATAAGTGTATTATGGTCGAACAGATAGATTTGAAGGACACTTAATTTTTTTTAAAAGTCTTCGCGTTTGTCATAAATTTTGGTATGACGATTATTATTAGAAATTCCATCGGCTTGTGTTATTAATTAAGGGTAAGTTCAGATGAAAAATTGACATTATTTATGTAGAAAACTTCTGTACTATTTAGAGACAATAATTCAGCTAAATATCTGCAGGTATTGTTCAGATCACGCTTGACAACGTGAGGTTGGTGTGCGTTGAATACAAAAGAGTCCGTTGATTTGTCTCATTGTCATTCATACCACAAGTTTAAGTTCTGTACCTTATTTATTTGTCTATGATCACGACGTTGGTCTATGACTAAACTAAAATATCAGTTGAAATGAATGACAATCTTGAAGACTAGATCAAAAATTACAATCTGATTAAAATTCAGATCTATAACAACTCGCGTGCTCGTATATCTAAGGGGATGACGACATCAGAGATCTATACTTTAATTAGATTGACCAAAAATAGTACTTAAAAGCTGGGACTATATTACATTAATATATTAGTCCAAGTTCACTGTTCAAATGAATGACCAAAATAAAAGCTGATATTATTGTTTCCAATTACAATTTTAGAGTTGTTGATAGTTTCATAACCTCGATCAATGAGAAGGAAAACTAACATATTAGCAAGAGTACAAAATGGATAATATTGTAGTTTGACTTGACGGAAATCTGTTTATTTTTAGGTGCATTGTCAAGTTTACGTAGGGTATGTTATTACACAAACTGGGCACAGTACAGACCAGGCACAGGGAAGTATGTCCCCGAGGACATGAATGCACATCTATGTACACATATCATATATTCATTTGCCAAATTAAATGGTAACCGACTGGCTCCTTTTGAATGGAATGATGATTCCACTGAATGGATGAAAGGAATGTAAGTAATATACAAAATAACAATAGAAAAACAAAACCATGTAAAAAAAACCAGAATATAAATGTGTATATAGAAAAAGCAAATTTAGTTTTTAAAGTACTTCACAAAATAACTCCGAAATATCTCAGTGTATTTAAAGATATGCATCAGGTTAGTTCTAGAAAACAACCAAACAAAGTACTGGTAATATGCGTTTTGTTCTAAAAACTAGAATATCTGGAAGTAATTTATTGAACAACTTGTCTACAAATTTTAAAAAATGTAACACAATTGAATCTTTTAAAAGAACAAATATTGAAGAATATTTTGTTCAATCATAACAACATTTGTATTAGTATTTCATTATTGAATTTTATAATTTATGTTGTAATATATACATTTACATTATGTAGGACTTTCTTGTAAACTATAGTCCAGGGACTAAATATGTTATGTTGAAATAAAGGAAATTATTATTATTAACATACCACCGTAAGGTGACATCTAGGCAAAATAGATGGTACTAATAATCAGGGTTTTTCTTTGAATCACCATTTAAGTTTCCAATGGGAAACTACTTTCATTTACAAAATATGTACATCCTAGAATCTCATACTCTTACTTCCTTTAATTTGTGGCTTATTGACATTATTTTACTGACTTTTTCGAGAGAGAAAAAAAATCAAGTTCCAGAAAAGATCTAAGAGACCACAAAACTGAAATAAAATAATGTTATATATATATATATTAACGAAAGATCTATTGTTCTTCGTCTTTTTTCAAATTCTTTCAAACAATTCAATGCACGCCATTTATTTCTAATTCATGTATGAAAAAAATATATGCACACCACAAGAACATTACATACATCAACGTGTTTCCATTTATTCATATCCATCATAAACACAACAAACTTAGATTAATTATGTGGGAATGTGGTACAAATTTGCTGCAGGCCTCAAGATGTTTAAAATACATAAAAATATACTTTTTTGTAGGTATGCAAAATTTAATGCAATAAAAGCACAAAATCCTAGAATAAAGTCACTCCTTGCTATTGGAGGATGGAATATGGGTTCAGAACCATTTACACAAATGGTGAAAACATCAAAATCCAGGCAGGAATTTGCCCAAAGTGCTATTGATTTCCTAAGAAAGAGAAACTTTGATGGTCTCGATTTAGATTGGGAATATCCTGCGAATAGAGGAAGTCCTCCTGTAGATAAAAATAGATTTACCTTATTGGTTCAAGTGAGTACATATGTACTTTGTACATAAAAAAAGAAAAACAAAATGTATTTTGATCGACTGCAGTAAATTAATGTTTCAAAATATAGTTAAGAACAAACAAAATATCAAGATACATCTGACGTATTGCAATACAGTAAGCTTATATGTATCTTCCGACTCCTTTTTGTTAACCAATAGCTTTGGATATGTTGATTTTGATTTGCATATGGAAATTAGTTTGAATTTTGTAGTAACGCTCACATCGTAATGTTTTGGAACAAATTCAATGATTATTAAAAACTATATATCTGAAAAAAATGTATTTACAGCAACTACGAGATGCATTTGATAGAGATGCACGTACAACTGGACGATCACGTCTTTTGATAACCGCTGCAGTCGCTGCTGGGAAGAAAAATATTGACAGTGGTTATGATGTCGCTGCTATTGGAAGGTAAAGTACAGGAACGATAATATAGTATATTGAAAATTCTGTTAATCTGAAATCTGATGTCTCTAGCACATGTTTAAATTATTTAAATTATATCCATTGAAATTCTAGAAACAAATATGCCCTATACACTTTAAATAATACGAACTTGTTCTTATGTACATTTCCATCAAGTTATACAAGAAGTTACAGCTCAAGTTTTTTTTTGTTTTGTTTATCTTAGATTAATGGACTTTATAAGTATAATGACTTATGATCTTCATGGAAGCTGGGAGTCTGTAACTGGCCATAACAGTCCATTATTTGCCAGGAGTGGCGAGACAGGAAAAGAAAGATATCTTAATCTGGTAAATTTTATAAGTCATATGGATAGCTGGAAAATTATAGACTAGACACGACAAAACAAGACACAGTTTATTAGCCTTAACATTGTACAAGAGGTTATATCAACATAAAATACAATATTGCATTGGTTACAAAAGAAATATATCTATATATAAAATAGAAAAAAAGAAAAAGATAATTAAACGATAACATTATGAGAATGCATCGAAAAACACATTTATGTGTTAGACTACTACAAAAAAATATGATTTTCTTGAGAATATAGCAATATTTTTATACAGCTGTATTAATAATATGGCCTCTAGTTTATGAGGCGCCGTTTTACTATTTATTTCTTATTTTCTGATATCAAAAAATATTTCTTGATATCAAAAAATGTAATTCCTGATATCAAAAAATGATTTTTTGATATCAGGAAATATTTCTTGATATCAAAAAATATTTCTTGATATCAGGAATTCAATTTTTTGATATCAAAAATTGCCTTTTTTGATATCAAGAATTCGATTTCTTGATATCAGAAAATAATCTTTATTTCTTGATATCAGAAATTCGATTTTTTGATATCAAAAAATCATTTTTTGATATCAAGAAATCCATTTTCTGATATCAAAAAATAGATTTTTTGATATCAAATATTACTGACGATATTTTGATATCAAGAAATACATTTTCTGATATCAAAAAATGATTTTTTGATATCAAAAATTCGAATTCCTGATATCAAAAAATGATTTTTTGATATCAGAAAATAAGAAAAATATCAACGATTGCTCCCTGTGTGTCAATGAAAGCATCAACGTTCAGCAATGAGCCCTTACATTAAGTCTGGTGTTTCGGTCGTGTAATATACACGAAAGCATATATCAGAGTTCGGCTTCATCAGTCTCAATATAAGAAGTTTTGTGTTTTTTGTGTTTCACATATTTATTATTTTAAGGTTTATAGTCAACAATTGTAAGTTCTCACTTCTTTTATAAGCAATTATTGGTTTCCTCTGAAACAGATTTGTGCAGTCAGGTTTTTGCAAATATCAAGCCCCAGTGTTTTGTTCATCTTGTTTTTATATTTTTTTCCCGTTGTTTATGTTGAGGATTTAGTAAGTAAGTTAGTTCTGTTAAGTTTAAAAATAAGGAGATGTGGTATGATAGCCCATGAGACAACTAGCCACCAAAGTTCAAATGAAGTTGATGTAAGCAATTATAAGCAACCGTACGGCCTTCAACAATGAGAAAACCCCATACCATATAGTCTCCTATAAAAGGCCCCAATATGAAAAAGAAATAAACAACTCAATTTAGAAAGCTAAAGGCCTATATGATTTATAACAAAACAATTTACGTAAAACAAATACGGCAGACATCATTCGTAAATATAAATCAACATTCAGACTTCTTATACGTTCAGGTATTTCACATCCAATATTTTATGGAAATATTCTTTACAAAGAACAAAAATGTCGGCATTCACCTCAAAGTTTAACCAAACCTTTAAAAAGACTTATTCGGAAAGGATATACCGGTAGTTACGATACTGTTGTCAATTAGTCATTAATGATTGAATATTTTGGTATTAATATTGATTCACTCATAGGGTCTTTGCATCGGAAATAAACACATTTATTCTAAAACCATTTGTTGGCATGATACGGTTTATGTTCTTCTCATGTATTCTATGATGGTATGATACTAAACTCCTAACGGGAGGGATTGTACTTGATTTTCTTATGATGAAGACATAATCTTTCAATCAGTTTAATTGAGGTCTGGAGCTGGCATGTCAGTAACTGCTAGTAGTCCTTTGTTCATTTATGCTTAGTTTATTTTATTACCTATTCTGACATCGGACTCGTACTTCTTTTAAACTGAGTTTTACTGTGCGTATTGCTATGTTTTTCTTTATTCTACATTGGGTAGAGGTATAGGGGGAGGGTTGAGATCTCACAAAAAATGTCTAACCCCGCCGCATTTTTCCGCCTGTCCCAAGTCAGGAGCCTCTGGCCTTTGTTGGTCTTGTATGTTTTTTAATTTTACTTCATTGATATGTTTTGGAGTTTAGTGTGACGTCCATTTTCACTGAACTAGTACACAATTTTATTTAGGGTCCAGCTGAGGACCACCTCCGGGTGCGGGATTTTCTCGCTGCGTTGAAGACCCATTGGTGGCCTTCGGCTGTTGTCTGCTCTTTGATCGGGTTGTTTTCTCTTTGACATATCCCCCCCACCATTTCCATTCTCAATTCTATGAACCAAGACAATGCACTAAACTGCAGGCTCCGGACTTGGAACAGACACATAAAGAATGTGGCGGGATGAAACATGTTTGAGCGCTCAACTCTCCCCCTAACCTGGGACACTGGTGTTACATTACAACATAGTGTAAGAACAAACGTGGCAGGGTAACAACAACAAAAAGACACAAATTACAGATGCGATAGTGACAACTAGTTCAAAGCCAACAACAACATAAAAAAAATGCATGTCTTGTATTTTCGAAAGATTTGTCTATTTCGTCTTTTTACGAGACTGCTAGTATTTCTTATGAACCGCGTCGTCCATAAACATTTTAGATACATATGAGCTTTTTCTGTGAAGTAATGAAACGTTTCAGTAGGTTGGATGTTCGTTTTCATCTCTAAAATACCTTCATTTTGGAAAAGTTTGTCTTTATATTGAAAGGATTGTCAAGAAATTTTCACTTCATTTTGAGAAAAGTGGTATAAGTACAATTTAGTAGGGTATATATTTCGACTCTTCAAAATTCAAGAGTCTATCCTAAACTGAGGTAAACTATATGGTCTTCCAAATACCGTTTCGATTCCTAACATCACTGAAGAGATATTAATTGTCGAAATCCGGATATGGTGTACAAATTTTTGCACCTCATGTTTGCGGTATACCATCTTTTCCGCAAGTTTATTGTTTTCTGTTTGGTATTAAATTAATAATATAGATCAATTTTGTTACATCTTGTGATCCGTTTATTTGGCAATCGCCAATGGCAGTCAGCAGGGTTTAAGAACATCAGTTGTTCGACCTGTTAGCCAAATGCGTTTTGTTAAAATATTCTTTTTCATTTTTTTGATCTTTTGGAAAATATTGTTTGTGCTGTATTTAGACCCCTCTCTACCAAGAAATTTGTTTTGCTTGCACACGTATAAAAATTTTATCCAACGCAATCATAGGTTAGAACGTTGTTTTCAATTTAGACTTGTTTATGCATTGTATTAGATATATAAGGCGAAAAGATCGTGTATATCGCCAGTTGAACCTGAATATATTATCGAGCCATCGTATCTAAATCTTGAAAACATTTTCCAGTATGTAATAAATTCTTAGGTCGACATATCCCGCCCATTCGGATTGTATGACACAAGAGTAAATATGTTTTATTTAGGAATAATTTTAAAAAAATCTTCCATATATTGTCTTGTAGTGCATGGGTCTTAAATTTCGTAATAAGTTTGATCAAACTGAAGATTAGTGTAAATATTTTTTTTACTTCAAATATTGTTATTAAATAGCAGTTTTCCGGAGACTTTGAAGTCTTATTCATGTTTATAAAACTTGAAGTGTATAAGCATTTTGTTTTTGTAACAAGGGACACAATGTCATCAATATAATGACCAATACTGTGTATAGTGGTACTCCACACTATAAAACAATTGGTCTACCGGGAACATTATTTCAGATAATTCCTGATGTTTGGCCTCATTGGTGAGCCTGAATGTTTTAAATGACACACAGGGAGCCATCATTCATTTATTTCTTATTTTCTGATATCAAAAAATCATTTTTTGATATCAGGAATTCGAATTCTTGATATCACAAAATCATTTTTTGATATCACAAAATCTATTTCTTGATATCAAAAAATCAAAAATATTTTCTGATATCAAAAATTCGAATTTCTGATATCAAAAAATCTATTTCCTGATATCAAAAAATGAATTTTTGATATCAGGAATTCGAATTTTTGATATCAGAAAATATTCTTTATTTCTTGATATCAAGAAATCGATTTTCTGATATCAAAAAATAGAATTTTTGATATCAGAAAATCATTTTTTGATATCAGAAAATAGGTAATAAATAGTAAAACGGCGCCTCATACTAGTTTACATTCGCTTTGATTTCTGTTGTAAAATAAGGGAATTAACTTATTTCTAAGCTCGACTATTGCTGAATTGTTACGTATGAACAAATACTGAAATGAAATTGAAACTTCCTATTGGAACATCTGAGCTTCGCTATTTTGAAGTGATCATTATGGTTCAGTTTGATAAATAGGGTTCAGGACATAACTCATTTTAGAAAATGGAATAATTAGTTATTGAAACAGAACATTTAAGAAAATGGAATAAATAGTTATTGAAACAGAACATTTTAGAAAATGGAATAAATAGTTATTGAAACAGAACATTTTAGAAAATGAAATAAATAGTTATTGAAACAGAACATTTTAGAAAATGAAATAAATAGTTATTGAAACAGAACATTTTAGAAAATGAAATAAATAGTTATTGAAACAGAACATTTTAGAAAATAAAATAAATAGTTATTGAAACAGAACATTTTAGTAAAACCAACTACAAGCTTTTTTACCTGTTGTGAGTTATTGCAATATTATTGTCTCAGTGACATTTGCAAAACACTTTTACGTCGATACGCTTTTCAAATAAAATAGAAATAAGAAGATGTGGTATGAGTGCCAATGAGACAACTCTCCATCCCAGTCACATTGTGTAAAAAGTAAACAATTATAGGTCAAAGTACGGCCTTCAACACGGAGCCTTGGCTCACACCGAACATCAAGCTATAAAGGGCTCCAAAATGACTAGTGTAAAACAATTCAAACAGGAAAACCAACTGTTTAATCTATATAAAAAAACAAGAAACGAGAAACACGTATGAACCACATCAACAAACGTCAACCACTGAACAACAGGTTCCTGACTTAGGACAGATGCAAACAAATGCAGCGGGTTTAAACGTTTTAACAGGCGCCAACCTTCACCCTAACCTGAAATAGTAGTGTAACATTACAACATAGAAAGACACACTATAAAATATCAATTGAAATGGCTTTACTCAATCAAAAAGACATATTAACAAAAAACAAGTAAACATACACTTTGTATCATTTGTATCTGAAACATATTGCTAAAGTCTCAAAAGACTGAGCTTTTTTTTATTTTGTAGGCCTGGGCAGCTAATTATTGGAATAAAATGGGTGTACCAAAGTCTAAACTTAATATTGGAATGGGATTGTATGGAAGGTCTTTTACATTAAAAGATCGTAATGTACATAATGTTGGAGCGCAAACATCCGGAAAAGGGCTTGCTGGAAAATATACACGAGAAGCTGGTTTCTTATCATACTATGAGGTAATTTCAAAACTAAGCTTAATACAGATTTAAAAAAAAAGAAAATCAAGAAAATTGGAATGGATTTAGTAAATCTCTCTATTACACTCCAATCACAACAGCTTTAAGTTTGTTTTTATTAATAAAAAATCTAATAAAACATTGGTGAATGTCCCTTACTACACACGACACAAATGAAAGATGCAAGTCTTCCGCTGTGGCAATATAATGGTTTGTCAACCAAGGATAACAGGATGGAAGATTGAGAAAAAAAACATTACACAATGGTGTGTCTGTTTACGATTATCGCATTAATTATGCATTGCCTGTTGGGAGGGGGAGTTTCAATAAGCTCTGAACACTATTTCATTAATACATTATTATTTAGTGTTGTTTAACTTTGATGTGTTCTGTCGTCAGTTATATCTAAATTATTGTGCTAAATGCTTAAAGCTGTTTTTATTCAGCGTGCTGCTCTGTAGCTTTTTATAGAGCTGTAACCGAGATAAAGAGTGGGAGTGTAGAGTACTAAAACAGTGATTGTTAAACCCGGTTACATATCAATGTGCCTTTCCCAAAGTTAGGAACCTCCCAATTTGCTGTGTATTTGTAATGATTTTGTACTTTGATCGATTTTTTGGTAGGTATTGTGTAGTCCCTTTTGAATTTATTACATGGCTTGTGAAGACTGTGGTTAATTAAGAGCTAGACATTGACTGCTTTTGAAAACAGTATATTTACCTCTGCTGTTATTTTTTGTGTTGTTTTCTTTTTGTGTGTGTTTTTTTCCGTGTTTTTATTAGATGTGTTTTTTTTATTCATTTAGGGATATACCGGGTATATAACTACATAATGTATAGGTTACTGAAAGGTCTTCAAAATGAGCAAAACCCATATCGCATAAAAGGTCCCGTTATGACAAATTGTAAAATAATTCAAACGATAAAACAAGCGGCCTGATTTATGTACAATACAGTAAACGAAAAACAAATATGATAGACAGCTAACAACGACAACCAATTAATTAGTGACTCCTGACTTGGGATAGACAAATATAGGATGTGACGGTGTTTAACATGTTTTGCGAGCGCACAGCCATCACAACATAAGAAAAAACTTAAAATAACAGTTGAGAAAGGCTTGACTCATTTGATTGACGCAAAGCACAAAATATCTTACAAAAAGAATAAAGACACAAAGTACCGATCTGAGAGTACTTGCAGCTTCAAAGCCAATTACAACTAATAATATTTACCGACCGTGCGAGATCCTCGTGGGTAGTCACAGTCGTTAAACACCCCCGTAGCAGTACAACTAATAAATGAATCATGTTTACCAGACTTAAATATCAATCTGCACATACAATCAGTGCACATCCAATGGATTTAGTGTAAAGACGTAATAAACAGTCTGAGAAAAACATGATCTTGTGCAATGCCAAAATATAAGTATCGACAGAACGGAAAGTGTGCATAACTGTATTAATTTTTGAAGATCTTAATACAGCGTTAAATTGATAACCTTTCATTACTTTTTAATAATCAACGTGATGTTTTAATCAGAGAAAAGGGTATATTTTTCACTTGCAGACATATCTATCTTGGTAGATGTGACAACTTATTTCAAGGTTACAAAACACAATAATAATGGACTGTTTGTTTCTATCGTGTATTCATGCGATATTAATCATGCAACTTAAATCATTAAAAAATACAATTAAAGGACATTCATATGACCATTTAATATTCGAATCACATTGGTATTTATAAAATTAAATTAACAATTAAATTTGAATATTAAGGAAAACCTGAAACAATATACATGTAGATAAAAGGAGATGCTGTATATAATATTATGTCGACGTAAAAGCGATACAAAAAGGCATCTACATACAACATTTTCTCTTTCGTTGGTTTTTTTATATTTTTTGCTAACCATGGGCCATTTATGGGGTTCCAGCAGGATATCCCTTTATGTCACAATGTCACGTTTATAAATTGTCTCATTTAGAAAACTATACAGTTCTAAACTGATTTGATTTTGAACATTTTCAAAGGTCACAGGTCCTTTTTAATGAGATGTCAGGTCGCAAGGTCGCCCTCAAACCCCCCTCCCCCTCCCAAGGTCGTAGGTCGGGTTGGACCATGTTGGAGTCACTTTTATATCTTACGAAGTACTATACGGTAACGCCATGGGTTTTGATAATTGTTGAAAGCCTTACTGTGACCTGTTATAAGTTGTTTACATCCTGCTATACTTTGGTGGATAGTAGTCTCGTTGGTATTCATACCCTCTCTCCTTATTTTCAAACATAATAGTAGTATGAAAAATGTCTTCATGATCATTAACAGACTTTAACTAGTGTCTTTCCTTTGATATAGGTTTGTGATATGATGAAAAAAGGAGGAAAGAAATATTACATCAACGAACAAAAGGTACCGTACTTGGTGAAAGATGATCAATGGGTTGGATACGATGATGTCGATAGTCTGTCCATCAAGGTAAGTTATAGGTGTTAATACACCTTTAAATATCGCTATTTGTCCGCCATTACTGGACATCACAAAGGTTCCCGTAAAATGTTGACGTCACATTAGAAAATATGTGACGCCACAATGAAAAAGTGATTGTTGTATGACGTCAAAAGTTCAACCGGCGCAGATTCTCGGGTCAACCGGCGCAGATTTCCAAATGGCGATAAGGTGTATGGAATCTAATCAAATTTAACAAGTGCACTGCATGATGTATCTACTCATTATAGATACCAGGCTACATATTTGTACGCCAGACGCGCGTTTCGTCTACGAAAGTCGTATCAATGGCGCACGAACCAAAAAAGATAAAATGCCAGCAAAAATACGAAGCTGAGTGCTTTGATAAGTGTCTTAAGGATATAGTTGGGTCAGGTTTAGGAATTTTTGACAGATGTTCGGACTCCTTGTTTTTTTTTCTACGATACAGGGCAAAATATTTTGCCCCATAACACCCATTTTTATTTTAATATAAGATTTCAATAGCTCATAAAGGTTCATTTACCAAAATTTAAGCAGATTCTAGATTTCTTTTCATTCGATTTTAAACCTAAATAATACCGATGCAAATGTAAGGTAAAAGTCCGAGTTAGCCTTTTCCCGCCATTTAAAAAAAATTAATTATCTCGAAAAGGAGCCCTCATAACCTATCAATAATTTTTAGCTTATTGTGTTCCTTAACTAATGCTCTTCTGACTTATAGTATCAATTTTGAACTCTAGACTTCTTTAATTTCACCCAAGTACATCCTTGAGTATTTGACATTTTCTGTAAATATCAGACCATTTCAAGCTATTTTATTGTGTGATCTTATGCTGTTATTAAAGGGCACATGTATAAATATATGTAAGCTTTGGTTGCTCATTTGATAACGACATCATATACCTTTATGCAATTCTATCGTAAAATCATGTCATTTATCTCATTATACCGTTGTCTGTGATATTATTTAATATGTTATCAATCAAGCCATGTTATTTAGCATTCTGTGATGCATTGCTCATCTTTTAGTTTCGTGACAATCAGATTTTTTTCCTGTCAATTTTGATAATGTTAAAACTTAAATAGTCGAAAAAACGAATTTGAATAAATGATGATGATGATGATGGATGTTTAACGTCCAGCGGCAAATTAAATGCATATTCAGGACAAGAACATGGTAATGTGTTATGAATATTACTAGACCGATACGCCGAGTCGGATTTTTAACGTTTTAGTTCACAAGGCAACAGTCTGCTGCAAGACATATCACCCTACCCGGGCACAATATACTGATCCGATCCGAAATCTTACTCCTAAACGCGGAGTGCTTAGCGGAAAAGCAACAAATCAATTTTTAAGTCTTTATTTTGACTCGGCTGGGGTTCGAACCCACGACCAACACTCGAGGCAAACACACTACCACGAGACCATCAAGGCGGTTTGAAAAAATGACTGTTTTAGTTTATTTGAAATTGCTGGGCTAATTCTTCGCCATTTTATATTATTTAAAATGTTTGAATTTTGTTAACATTCTTATAAACATTTCTTGATAACAAAACCTTTTACCAACAAATCGGTAAATTAAATGTGCATATTATATGGTTTAAAATTGATATAAAAGGTCCCATACAAGGTTTGAAATTTTGTAAATTACATGATCTTCTGATCTTATTGTGAAACGTGTTTTCTCAATTTGTCAATTTTAACTGCATTTAAATCTGCCATTAACACAACCCTGTCGTTAGGAGTCCTTATATTCAATATTTTTTTAAACACAAACCAAAAGGTTATTGATCATATATTGTAGTGTAATTCTGTGACATAAACCACAAGCTGTCAAACTAGTGACAAGATGTTGTTTTTTCTTGTATTTAAAGGTTCAGTATTTCAAACAACAGAGATTAAGGGTATCACATGGTATGGCCTTGTGACCTCAATTCTTCTATATTATATCGTTTTCAAACACAAACCATTAGATCATTGAACTTCTATAATATATCATAACAGTGTCAATCTGAGACACAAACCACAGCTTATGAATAAATGACAAGATTTTGTTTTTCTTGAACTTATAGGTTCAGTATGTCAAACAGCAAAGATTTGGTGGTATCATGGTATGGGCTTTAGACCTTGACGATTTTAAAGGAACATGTGGTCAAGGCACATATCCTTTACTTAAGAGAATAAATCAAGAAATAGAAGGATCAAGGTTCCAGTAAGTATCAAATGAAAACAGCAATAAATATAATCCATGCTTATTCAAACACTTATTGGCATGATACGGGTTATGTTCTTCTCATATATTTTATGATGGTTTGATACTTAAAACCCTTACGGGAGGGATTGTACTTGATTTTCATATGATGAAGACATAATCTTTCAATCAGTTTAATTGAGGTTTGGATCTGGCATGTCAGTAACTGCTAGTAGTCCTTTGTTCATTTATGTATCATCGTCATTTTGCTTAGTTTCTTTTGTTACCTATTCTGACATCGGACTCGGACTTCTTTTGAACGGAGTTTTACTATGCGTATTGCTGTGTGTTCCGTTATTCTACATTGGCTAGAGGTATAGGGGAGGGTTGAGATCTCACAAAACATGTTTAATCCCGCCGCATTTTTGCGCCTGTCTTAAGTCAGGAGCCTCTGGCCTTTGTTAGTCTTGTATGTTTTTTTAATTTTAGTTCATTTATATGTTTTGGAGTTTAGTGTGACGTCCATTTTCACTGAACTAGTACACAATTTTATTTAGGGGCCAGCTGAGGACCACCTCCGGGTGCGGGATTTTCTCGCTGCGTTGAAGACCCATTGGTGGCCTTCGGCTGTTGTCTGCTCTTTGGTCGGGTTGTTGTCTCTTTCACATATTCCCCATTTCCATTCACAGTTTTACGGTTTAATTGTTTAGTATTCAATAAGGACAAAGAATACAATTGAAAATACACTGTGAAGAAAAATGTTCTCGGATGCCCTTACTACATTGGTGTGTTAAACAATTATTACTAGTCTAAGTTAAATCTATTGACAACTTTTCAAACTCGGGGTTATTTAGAGCATGTCATATTGTACGGACACTTGTCTATGATTGAAGACCTCATGTTGACCTTTAGATGTCTTTTGTTTTTTTTTCGTCGTTGGGATGATGTCTCACTGGTAAAAAGTTAGATATTTTTTTTCATTTAGAATCAAAGTCATTACAATAATAGCTTATGTCTTTGCCAAATATTTTTTCTGCATTATTGTTTTAAACTATGAATTCAACATTATTATTTTATAAATAGAACACCGAATATCAATTAGATAAGAAATATATATAAATGACAATATGGTTGGTTGCTCTGTATATAGAATCGAATCAAATTTATATAAAAAAAAATATTTACAGACCCGAGTATCCAATGAACGATATACCTAACGTACCAGAAATATACAATCCCATTCCACCAAGACAGACACCTAAACTAGATATACCTAACGTACCAGAAATATACAATCCCATTCCACCAAGACAGACACCTAAACTGGATATACCTAACGTACCAGAAATATACAATCCCATTCCACCAAGACGGACACCTAAACTGGATATACCTAACGTACCAGAACTATACATTGCACCAAGACAGACACATAAACGAAGAAGGAAACAAAAGACAATACAACCACAGGTCGACGCCAGGAAAGTGGTCAATCCTAGACCTCCAAGACAACAACACATTAAAAGCGTCGGTAAGGTTTAGAAGTGGATTTTGTCTATAATGTAAACGAGTTATCATATTTTTCAAATTAAATCTCACTTATCAGTAAAACAAACAAAAAAACAGGAAAAAACACATGTAGAAACACGAAAGGATAAACATTATATTGTATCTGAGCATTGCTGTCAAGGATCTGTGCTACTGACAATTGCATTTTAAAGAAAAGCAAATTCAAACTTGTTATTTTGTTACTTTTAAATTAAGTTATTTGGTTTGCTAGAAATACAACTTCAGTGACGCATGAACGTAAAATAACTAACAGTTAATCAGTTGATATTCTTCAATATAAGAATAAGGAGATGTGGTATGATTGCCAATGAGACTACTATCCACCAGAATTCTAATGAAGTGGGTGTAAGTAATTATAGGCAACCGTACGACCTTCAACAATGAGAAAAACACATACCGTATCGGCTATAAAAGGCTCTGACATGAAAAATATAAGACAATTTTATTCAATTCAACTGAATCCATCAAAAAGTCCATTCTTTAATTTGAAAGTAAAATACAGACACTCTTTATTGCCATGATAAAAAGATTAATATATATTCTAAATACCATGTATTCAACAGATCAGCTACGATCAAGAAGTAAGGATTTTTCTTGCATAAAAGGAAATGATGGATATTTTGCAAGTCCAACATCATGCTCTGAATACTATATGTGTACAGATGGAACTGCCTTTAAGTTCAATTGTGCTTCAGGTCTTAAATTTAATGCAGAGCATAACTTTTGTGATTGGCCAAAGAAAGTAAAATGTACCGATAAAAAAGGAAGATCTTCTAAAAAAGCTGTAAGACCAGGGCAAAAATCTTCTACACAACATACAATAAATGAACCAGCTCCACCGCCACGACCTCCTGTGCATAGACCGGAACCTCCAACATGGCATCCATCACAACCGCAGCAGTCAACTTCAACCAGTGGTTGGAACTTCGATGCTCCAGCCAAAGGACCTCCACCACCGGCTCCGACCACTCCAACCACAGCTCAGCAGCATCGTAGTGCTTGGGATTGGGTATCTATGATTGATAACCAAATGCCGTTCTTCATGAGTCGTGAGTAATTTCTAGATCAGAACTTAGTTAATTTTTCTCAAAGGACAATAATCAAAACCGAAAAACAACCCAATTATTTGTTGCAATTTGAATTAAACAATGTAGAATTAAGATATTTATTCAAGTTAAAATGCAGAATTGTAAATTTAAAAAGAAAAATTTACCATGAACTAAATAATTTTCTAAAAATAAAGCCTGAACATAAGCATATTTTTAGTATAAATGTTTTGAGTAAGGAATTTCAAAGTGAAAGATTGGTAGTCTTGTCACATAAATGTAAAAATCAATTATGCAACTTAACACATATTTAATATATGCCCTTACTATGTTGATTGATACGTCCATTCGTTTATATATCATGGACATTCAGGATTATTCAATATTTGAAAAAAAGTTACTCATAAACATTTACAGCGCGCGTACCGGTTTGGAAAGAAATGTGTGTGGTCGTAAGTTCATCTTAAGTATCGCTTCACTTTGCTGATTATACATGTAACCCTACCTTGTTTTTGAATTTCAAAAATTGTTGAGTTAAGTTTGTAATTTAATTATTTAAACACCGATATTCCTGGTTTTTATACAGAATCTAAAAATAATAATTTTCATTTTTATTGCTAAATAAAATCAAAACAACACAGGACAAATATTTTAATTTGCTCAGTTAAAAAACAACATTGCTATATTTTTGATACGTCAGGGACAGATTATGCTCGTTGATAAAACCTTACCCCAAAGATGAAAACTGTATTCGAAAAGATTGATTCATGCTTTTTTTCATTATGAATGCACTGACTTTTTATCTATTTATTTCAGTGTTTGGAAACAATGATATGTTTGCAGATTTCTGTGCAAGTCGTACAAATGGAATATATCCAGAAAGTGCGAATTGTAGAGGATTTATAGAATGTTCTGATGGTGTGTCTTTCAAAGGAGCATGTGGTCCTAGTCTAGCCTTTAATCCACGCCAAAAAACATGTGACTACACATATAATGTACCCGGATGTTCATAAAACAACTCAATCATGATCCTGGTTATTTATTATCTTAGTGCATATAGCGCTTACTGTGTGAAGTACTTATTATCGTTTGTACGTTGTACATACAAATAATCCAGCAAGGTATTTTGCAACTCGGCACATGCTATGGGAATCGTTGTGTGTTTCTTATAGTGATCAGGAAGTGCTTCTGCTTTATGATTTTGATTTTACCTGTTAACTTGTTAATCAAATATAAAAAAAAATAGTCATATCTGATTCTATGGTATTTTATTTTTTAAAATCAGAAGTACTTGTATAATGCATATATTTTTTACGTGTGTAAGAACTACATTTTTTGCGCTTTCAAATTTCTATATTTCTCTCAGTAGAATTATAACTAGAGCTGTTGTCATATTAACAATGAAATTATCTACACCATGCCCAGAATGCTAGACCACTCGACCTGCTATGCTTTGTAAAATATTGGAAATTCTTTCCTCGTCGGCAGAATGTAGGATTGTACCACAGTACATGATGAATAGTGGCCTACGTATTAAAAGTGATGAAATATCTATGCAGTTCACATAATATGGAAAGTTTCCAATGTTACCAATGTCAGTATTAAGGGTAAGAATACTCTACAGGCCTTATTGTTTGACAATCGGGTACAACTAAAAAGTTGTTCAGCATGAGAACGTAGTATATTTTGATTAAATGCGTCTTTAAACAGACATATATTACTCTCTCAGCCATCCTTATATGGCCAAAAGTTTGTGATTTTTTATTCATTACATTAGTACGCATTGTTTTATATCTCAATCGACATAAAAACCCTCCCGTTATTGATACCAACTCTTCAAAGTACAGGCTGGTTTCAGAAAGTGTTGATATTGCTAATCACAGACTATTGAAGCCCGTAATTAATGCTTCCAAAAGTGACGAAAACGTAGTTTCTTTAAATTGAATTCGCTAATAAGTGTCTTGGTAGTAACTTGAGATGTTATTTGAATGCCCGAAAAAATCCTTTTCCCTAGTCTTTCAACAGGAAAAAGGGACCTTCATGTTACTAACGGATGCAGTTAAAGACTGTGCTAGAAAATTGGTAAAGAGGGAGTCAGATATAAACCAGACACTTTATCTGAATAGATCAAAGTTGTTCGGTCATGCATTAAGAAATGCACTAAAAATTACGATGTACTATTGAGCGCACTAGTTTCTAAATCGCTAAAAAAGCCTGGGATTGTGAATGCATCATCTTTTCTTTATGATAAATATGTTGTTGTTCCAGCAGACAAAGCCTCATACAATATTGTTTCTATATGCAAAAATTATCACTTGGATTGCCTAACAAAATATTCACAGCAATTTTTGAATCCAACACAACAACCAACACTTTAATGATTGCTAACATCCCATATAAATAGGTGAACTTGAGATTAAGGATACTAACAAAAGTAGTAGGTCTTCTTCATATCTTGACTGTTTCCTCGATATTGACACAGATGGACGACTTCAAACTAGAATCTACGACAAACGGGATGATTTCAACATTCCTTTTGTAAACTTTCAATTCCTCAACAGTGACATACTATCTGCTCCATCGTATGGTGTTAAGGTCTTTGTTAATATTTGCGCTCGTGTATATTCACACTATAAGGACTTCATTAACAAGGTTGTGTTCCTTACACAAAAACTACTCCAAAGAGTTATGAGGAAGAACGACTGAAATCGTAATTACGTAAGTTTTACGGTCATCATCGGGAATTGGTTGATTGATACGATGTGCCGATGTCTCAATTCACTAGCGGCGATATGTTTTTGCAGTCTTAGATTTTTAGATACAAGTATAGTTATCTCATCTTACCGATTGTGTCCTGTTCCCGATTGTGACATTTTCACTGAGTATGTATTCGCATGGCTGTTGATGCATGCATAGCAGGAGACGTTTACCATGTCGACGCACCCGGTCTTGTTCTTTTTGGAGCTCATGTAATTCCCTCAGTTTTTGTTTGTCACCTAGATCTGTCTCTTCTTTGTCGATTTATGAGATTTGAACATCGGTAAACTACTGTCGCCTTAGTTATACACCTATATCATTCACCAAGAAATCACTAATTCATCCTTCTCTGTTTTGGTATAAACATAAAAAAAGGACTTCTTTATACTAGATACCAAAAAACAGATGTTCACCTAAGCATCTATCTAAAACTACTACTTCCTTCAATTCTGTCTATAGGTAAAATATGACCTTAAAAATACTGTGCTGATGTATACTCAACTAGTGAGGTCCATTAGATATGGATTTTCTTTTAATCTTTTAATCTAAAGAACTACTAAAAAATGAAAACAACACTTAACAAACGTCATGCGTCCGAAGCGTTTATCTGGATTTCGCTTCATCATAGGCGCTAAAAGCCGAACATTTGATAGCCAAAGATTTTAAGACCTGATTCAGTTGAAGCTACATGACCAAATCTTCCAACAAAAACAATGTTCCATTCATATCAAAATATTTTATTTTTCCACACTTTACACTACTCGTGCTTAATTGATGGTCGACAACGTCTCATTATTCAAACGTGCTTTTTTTCTACAAAAAATGGGAGTCGTAAATACAAATTTCTTGATTAAGGTCACGAAAAATCTTACTTTGAGAAGAACCTTACGGATCTCAACAACAAATACACCGAAGACGATATTATTGACATGTGGGACAACCTACTTATTGAGTTTTTTTTAAATCTATATTTCAACAAACAGTCGGTATTTCACTTATACTAATTGTGCACAGTACTGGCGGACTTGTTTTTTTAATTCATATGAAGTAGAATGTTCTGTCACTAAATAACCCAGAATTCAACGAGTGAATGAATCTCATATAATTCATGAAACACAGTGATGAACAAGAATTACTGATATTACACAAGTTTTGTGATCACCACAACAAAAAGTAAAATAACAAAAATAACGAACTCCAAGGAAAATTTAAAACGGAAAGTCCTTTATAAAATGGCAAAATCAAAAGCTCAAACACATCAAACGAATGGAAAACAACTGTCATTTCCTGACTTGGTACAGACATATTCTTATGTAGAAAATGGTGGATTAAACCTGCTTTTATAGCTAGCTAAACATCTTACTTGTATGACAGTCGCATAAAATTCAATTATATTGACAACAATGTGTGAAGAAAAACAAACAGACATAATAGTTAGTTTCCTCGTTTGTATTGTTTTACATTGTCATTTCGGGGCCTTTTATAGCTGACTGTGCGGTATGGGCTTTGCTCATTGTTGAAGGTCGTACGATGACCTATAGTTGTTAATTTCTGTGTCATTTGGTCTCTTGTGGAGAGTTGTCTCATCGGCAATCATACCACATCTTCTTTTTTTATATATAATAGGTAAACATGTCAAAAATTGACCATGTCTGTGTCTCAACTCACGAGAGGCATGCTTTCTATCCAGTATAGTCGTCTGATCTGTAATTATACCAATTGAGTAACATTTTGAATAAGAGAATGAATTCACATGACTATATGTAATGTACCTCTTTCTGTGTACCTGCTATAACACCCGTTCATTCTTGAACCTCTTCCTGTGTACCTGCTATAACACCCGTTCATTCTTGTACCTCTTCCTGTGTACCTGCTATTGTAAATGCTCTTTTGTTCCGACGTTGGAAAGTTCCGGGCAGAAAGAACTAACTAGCCGAAAAGTTCCAGGGGAACTTATTAACTAGTTACTTTGTTCTTCCTCTGGTTTAAAAGTTCCACCGGAACAAAGTGACTAGTTGAAAAGTTCCAACGGAACATATCAACTAGTTAGAAAGTTCCTTTTTGCCAAATTAGTCAAAACCGGAACTAACTAACTAGCCCAAAAGTTCCAACGGAACTTATCAACCAGGCAGAAAGTTCCATTTGGAGAATTGATGCAAAGTAAAAGCGCAACATATTATATTTGAACCTTTCAAAGGGAAACCAAGATACTGAATATACCATATTTCGTCCTTTTTGTAGAAAGAGGGGGAAGAATGAGTATCAGTATATATAAGAGCAAATCATTAATTTACAAGAATACCCAACGCACTGAAAGGGGTTTCTTTGGGGACAAATATGCAAAATTTAAGTTGTATTTCATAGCTCACATAAAACGGAATAAGTTGCATTATCATGCAAATTTAGTATTCATAGTACCCTCAAGAGAGGGAAGAATACCCCCTCCTCATGTGGTTCTTTGCATCAATTCTCCAAATGGAACTTTGTGACTGGTTGATAAGTTCCGTTGGAACTTTTGTGCTAGTTTGTTAGTTCCGGTTTTGACTTATTTGCCAAAGAGGAACTTTGTGGCTAGTTGATAAGTTCCTTTTTCCGGAACTTTTCGACTGCACTCGGAATAAAACAACTAGTTGGAAAGTTCCATCGGAACGAAATAACTAGTTGAAAAGTTCCGCCGGAACAAAGTAACTGACGGAACATAGTGGCTGTTACACTATAACACCCGTTCATTCTTGTACCTCTTTCTGTGTACCTGCTATAACACCCGTTCATTCTTGTACCTCTTTCTGAGTACCTGCTATAACACCCGTTCAATCTTGTACCTCTTTCTGAGTACCTGCTATAACACCCGTTCATTCTTGTACCTCTTTCTGTGTACCTGCTATAACACCCGTTCATTCTTGTACCTCTTTCTGAGTACCTGCTATAACACCCGTTCATTCTTGTACCTCTTTCTGTGTACCTGCTATAACACCCGTTCATTCTTGTACCTCTTTCTGAGTACCTGCTATAACACCCGTTCATTCTTGTACCTCTTTCTGTGTACCTGCTATAACACCCGTTCATTCTTGTACCTCTTTCTGTGTACCTGCTATAACACCCGTTCATTCTTGTACCTCTTTCTGAGTACCTGCTATAACACCCGTTCAATCTTGTACCTCTTTCTGAGTACCTGCTATAACACCCGTTCAATCTTGTACCTCTTTCTGAGTACCTGCTATAACACCCGTTCAATCTTGTACCTCTTTCTGAGTACCTGCTATAACACCCGTTCAATCTTGTACCTCTTTCTGAGTACCTGCTATAACACCCGTTCAATCTTGTACCTCTTTCTGAGTACCTGCTATAACACCCGTTCATTCTTGTACCTCTTTCTGTGTACCTGCTATAACACCCGTTCAATCTTGTACCTCTTTCTGAGTACCTGCTATAACACCCGTTCAATCTTGTATCTCTTTCTGAGTACCTGCTATAACACCCGTTCAATCTTGTACCTCTTTCTGAGTACCTGCTATAACACCCGTTCATTCTTGTACCTCTTTCTGAGTACCTGCTATAACACCCGTTCATTCTTGTACCTGTTTTAACACCCGTTCATTCTTCGTTTTCCTAACATCAACTTTCACTGGTAGCAATATTCTCTGATATGAAATTGTAAATATG